TTTATATTCAATATGCCAAATCCCCCACTATTAGTTTGATGTCTCCTGTTGTGATTGGCTTACCTTTTTAACAGAATTTGGTACAGTGAAGTTGATTGGCTTACCTTGCTAACAGAATTTGGTACAGTGAAGTTGATTGGCTTACCTTTTTAACACAAATTGCTATAATCTCATAACAATCTCTAGGCGCGTATAGAAACCCAGTCAGCAACTTGGCTGGCAATGTTGACTTTTTTTTTTGTGAGTGCAAATTGCAAGTCCTAGTGCTGACAGTGCATTTTGGCACAGAAGTAATTTCCTGTTTGGGACTACATGACAGGGCTGTGTGGCCATCTCCCTATCAAATGGCAATTTTAATGCGCTATCCTGGTGTCAACCAGGCCCGGTCGAACACAGGCACCTGCGGAACTTAACCAAGGTTCCCCAAAATTCGCATTAGTTAGTGAATGAATCTCTGCCAGTGGAATTGGCCTTCCCATTGAGTCTGTGGCACACTCACCCAGGGTAGGGGGGGGTCGACCCTTTGATGTTTAGTTAAATTTGTAAAATCTGCAAGATTGCGGGTTATCAAAATATGAAGAAACTAATAAATCAATAATGACATTTGTCTACAATGGCATTTCAAAACTAAGTCAGCGATTTTTCATTGATCTGTCTATTATTTGTGTAACGCTACGATCACGTAACATTGTCAGTTATGGCATTACGTTGAACGGGTATTCACCGCTGCTGTTGCGATCATCGGTCCCTGACTTTTTTGTTTAAAAATACACCAACTTAGAATGTTTGCTTAATTAAAACGATTCATTGATGATTAACCTAGAAAGTACATCAAAATCGCCAACGAAATGTTTTTAAACATGGAAAAACGTGCACTCTGCGCCGCCATCTTTGTTACCTCAATCAAAATCTCCGTTGTAACCCAGCATGCATCGGTTGTGATGTCACTACATGTGCTACGTCGCCTTAGGGGTGGCGTTCCTCGGTAATGACGCACTATGAATGAGGTATTTCTATGAATGAGGTCAGGGTTCGATTTTTCCTCATCCATCTCGTCTGCAGTTGAATAATTTTTACTCCAATTTCACTTGTTTTTTTAATTCTTGGTAATTAGTGTCACTGGCGATGAAGTAGTAAAAACGCAATTAACCGCAGTGCAGCAACTCGGGATAGACCATCCGGCATCCCGACGCAATGGGCAAATTATTACTACCCTAGAATTTTGGGTTTGCCAGCTCCGCACCTTTGATAGACTTGGTAACTTCTTGTAGACTTCCGTTTTATCACTGTTTTTGTAAGGCCAACTATGTACAAAGGCGGGATTACCTTTCGATCAATACACGTTATTGTTTTAAAGATGTGCTAGACGAGGCCGACACTTGTAAATACAACGTGAATAAGCATCGCGGGCAGGATTTCAAGGATCGCAGGTGAAACAAAAGCGACGCGGCTGTTTGTCTAAGCGACGCGGGCCTGCAGTGCTTGAAAGGCCTGGGGAGAACACTGAGGGTATATTCGCTGGATTTTTTTTCACCGAATCTTTCCTTCAGCAAAAATGGCAAAAATTAATTCCAAGCGAAAATAAAATATTTTTTAATATTTACTATAAAAACAATCGGCAACTTGGTCCACGATGTAAGTTAGTTGAAACATACAGGCCGGGACGAGTGCAATATTAAATAATATCAAAATATTGCAAAAGTCCTAACCTCCATGGCCAACCAGTATCCATGGTAACCAGCCCATCCCTGGTCCGAGAAATCTCTAGAGGGAGAAACAAAACACGTTATCGACTAAAATTAACTTGATGTAACTGCCAAAAAACTAGAAAGAACTGGAATGAAATCTGTGAGTTGAACACCAACAGTTCTCTCAGACCTTCAAAACATTGTTTTATTGCTTGCACAGAAATGCCAAAGACAAAATTTATTAAAGCGCAGTGTTTTGTATGGAATTTATTTTCACTGATTTCTGGCAGGTTGAATGTAAATTATAAAAAAAAAGAATATTCGCTGGACTCTATTTTTATTGAATTATTCTTTCATTGAAAATAGCGAAAATTAATTCCAAGCGAAAATAAAGTATTTTACAGTAGATACAAGTCAGGAGGGCATACCTTGCTAAACAAATGGTACAGTGAAGATGATTGGCTTACCTTGCTAATACAATTTGGTACAGTTAAGTTGATTGGCTTACCTTGCTAACACAATTTGGTACAGTGAAGTTGATTGGCTTACCTTGCTAACACAATTTGGTACAGTGAAGTTGATTGGCTTTCAGAGCTGAAATAATTCTGCTTGGAGAAGGAAAGCTTGACGAGATAAGGCAGCTACATGCAGGCCGGGACAAGTGCAATATGGCTGCTTTTACAACATATATGCAACAAATCTCAACCTGAATGTAGCTGTTACGATTGGCCGCAATCTCCGCAATAGCAAACAAGTGTACTGAGCTTGAAATACAGGTTGGTGGTATTGCAGTATGCTTCCAAGTAAGCATCAAAGACTGAAAACCCTATGCATCGGATGGTGCAAATTGAAAAATACCCATGTTGAAATTTTACAAGAATACCCAAGCTTGTTCAAAGCAGTGGCAGCTTTGTGGTTGGCTGAAGATGTAGGACACCCTAGGTAGTGTCAAATTTATTCAAGACACCCTATGCCAGTTGTTGAAATCACAGCTCAAACAATGATGTTCCAAGATTAATGTGAAATCCAACAGCGGAAAACAAATAGAATAGAGTGCATAGGTCATTTATGTATTTTGGAAATTTGTATTCCCCTCACCCAGATTCCAAAATTGTCTTCAATATTTCTGGAAATTAACCATAATTTTGAAGCCAACACCACAAGATTAATCGATTTGGCCATTTGTCCTAATCATCTGCAGAAAAGTGCAGACTATAAACAGGACTATTTTGTGAATTTGTGATGAAAAGAGGCAACTCGTGGTGAAAAGGTTAATGACTACATGAAATTTAGATAGTGCTGGTAATTTGTAAGTCATCTTCCTGGCTGTCGACAGTATGTTGTACATAACCTTAGCCAGCAGGCCGGGACAAGTGCAATATTAGACGAGAACAACATTGCAAAAGTCCTAACCTTACAGCTCGGGTAAAGAAAAAAGCTAACTGCAATATGAAGTACTTGAAAATGACGAATTTTCACTGGGTTTAAATTTCGCTGATTTACCATTTCAGGCATACATGTATTCAGTGGGTTTTCAATTCACAGTTTTATTTAGATACTGTACTCAAGTGCCCACCCCCACTTTTGCGCAATTTTTATATTTGGGGTCACATTCGGCAAAGCGCCCACCCCTTCAAAATGCAACTAATTTAAAACTTGGTCTTGTGTAACGAA